GGGGGTAGGTTTTTCATGCGTTTCTCTCTTCTTTATTTTCACAATAGCAGATGAAGTCATGCATTTCTGAGCTAAATGTACGAATGTTTGTGTCCTGTGGACAAACTACAGTCAGCAGATGTCTTGGGTTACAGCTTTATGATAATGAAGCAAAGACACATCAGATGGGTGCAGCAAACATCCAATTAAAGCAGCATATACACTAGAGAAGCATTACTGTTACAGAAAGCCATCTCTTGGTAGATTGCTCCCATTATCTTTTTTTTTTTCAACAATATCTTTATTAAGTTTTATACATATATTTCACTTGTACAAAAAGACGGTTATCAAAACAATAGCATCCAAAAAGTGAACAGTTAAAATTTCCACAAAACATTTCACATACTTCACACACTTAACATTAAATAAAACAAAACAAAACACAAACACTCAACAACATATTCAATGCAGCAGATTTAAGTTATTTGAGCTCTTTGACGTTCAAGAAACTCAAATTAAGGGATTCCACACAGCCTCAAACTCTGTAGCCTTTCCCCTGGTGATATAAGTCATCCTTTCCAGCATCACACAAGATGTCATCCCCTTTATCCACTCATTTATCGAGGGCACACCCATTTTCCTCCAGGACAGAGCAATCATCCTCCTCGCCTGTAGGAGGCCAAAATCAATTAAAGTTGACTTGTTCTCCCATTATCTTAATATTAATCCATTATTTCAGGGAAAATAAAACATGTACTAATCGTGTTTAATTATTTAGCAGCGTTATAACTGGATTATTCTGGAAGCAATAAACACTGAGTGAGTTACGGAAAAAGGCTTTTTCTGAATCAAACCACATCCTGCAAAAATGAAGCAACAAATAAACAGGAGGTGAAAAACCAAAGATCTGCACTGGACTGGATCAGAACCACAGCCGTTATTCTGACTGGACTCTAATCCTGATTCCTAAAGAAAATCCTATTTTTTCCTGTAATTTTCTCTTCAATGTTAGCTTCTGTTTGTGATGAATTAGAGGAACCAGATGATGTTCTTCCCCTGATTTCTGGAGGATTCTTCTAGAACTGTTGAGCAATCGTCTCACTGATCAACTGTTCAGCAGCTGATAAAGAAAGATATAAAACTGGAGCCAGGATATGAAATTTCGACAGAAATATGATAATATTTTAACCGAGTTGCTTTTGACACACATACAAGTTGGTATGTTGGGGTTTAACACTTCTTAAAAACTTTGTACTTGCAGATGTTAGGCCGATGGTGGAACTTCTCTGGTGGTTCCACTGCGTGAAGAGCTCCCTAACTTTCTCTCTAAAGTTTTTCCCAACAATGACGTAGAGAATCGGATTAAGAACGCTGTTGAAGATGCCTAGGTACATGAAGATCTGCCCACAGTAGAACATGATGATTCTAGAGTTACAGTCCTGCAGGTAACCATAATCGTTGAGCAGGGATGGTATCTTGATCAGATAAAATGGAACCCAGCAGATCAGGAATGCCAGCAAGACGGCCAGGACCAAAGTGGTGGCCTTCCTATCCTTCCTCTTTGCTTTTTCCTCTTCCATAAATCTGCTTCCTAGAGTTTGGAGAATCTTGATGGTGCAGAACAGGATGATTGAAATGGGAATAAAAAACCCAAACACCAAAAACATGATGTCGCTTATGAGAGATATGACTAGGTGTTTTTCCTGACAATTGAACCCTTCCACAGTCCGGTTGATGAGCTTCGGAAGACTGAGAAGGAAACCCAGAATCCAAACCAGGACGCAAGAAATTTTAGCACATTTTGGCCGACGCAGTTTTTGATGAGACAGCGGGTGGACCAGAGCCAGGTACCGATCGCTGCTGACCAGAATCAGGAAGTAGATGCTGCAGTAGACGTTCATCGGAATCGCCACATTGACGATTTTGCACATAGCGAGACCAAACTTCCACTCGAACCGATTCCAACCACTAACAGCCCAGAAAGAAGGTTCAATTTTAGTAGATCTTTATCAGATAGTGCAGTTATAAATTTTAAAGAATCTGCTTCACTTTCTCTCTCCTCTGTGTCACTGAGCAGTGCTGCAGAGTGCAAAAGTTTAGCTTATTCCCCTTCACAGGTTGATGATTTTGTTGATGGGGTTGCTAGTTCTCTGCGTATTGCCTTAGACAACGCAGCTCCTTTGAAAATGAAAACCGTTAAAAATAGAAAGCTTGCTCCTTGGTTTAATGCAGAGCTGCGTACTTTGAAGCAAAATGCTAGGAAACTGGAGAGAAAATATCGCTCCACAGGCCTGCGAGAGTCCTTCCTAGTCTGGAAAAATGGTTTACTGCTGTATAAGAGGACCCTTTGTAAAGCAAGAGCAGCATACTTCTCCTCATTAATAGAGGAGAATAAGAATAATCCTAGATTTCTTTTTAATACAGTTGCCAAACTCACCCAGAGCCATAGCTCTGTTGAACCGTCCATTCCACCTGCTCTTAGCAGCAATGACTTTATGGGATTCTTTATAAATAAGATTGATCTTATTAAAAATAAGATCATAAGCACTCCTCTATCCGCGATTGTACCTGAGGTAGTCATGGAATCTGAACTGGGTTTAGACTGCTTTGATCCAGTTGAACTCTCTGAATTAGCAAAATTATTGTCTTCATCTAAGCCTTCAACTTGTATGTTAGATCCAGTTCCAACCAGGTTATTTAAGGAGGTATTCCCTTTGATCTCCTCCTCCATTTTAGATGTGATTAATCTATCTCTGTTACAGGGATATGTACCTAAAGCTTTTAAGGTTGCTGTAATTAAACCTCCGCTTAAGAAACCGTCTCTTGACCCAGATGACTTGGTCAATTATAGACCTATATCCAATCTTCCTTTCTTATCCAAAATTCTTGAGAAAGTAGTTGCCAAACAAGTTTGCGATCACTTCCACCATAATGAACTTTTTGAAGAGTTTCAGTCTGGCTTTAGAGCTCATCATAGCACTGAAACAGCTCTGGTGAAAGTCACTAATGATATTCTCATGGCCTCAGATAATGGACTTGTATCTGTGCTCGTCCTGTTGGATCTTAGTGCTGCATTTGATACAGTTGATCATAATATTCTTTTAGAAAGACTTGAATATTTTGTTGGAATTAAAGGAACAGCACTAGACTGGTTTAAATCTTATCTATCTGATCGAATTCAGTTTGTTCATGTTAATGATAGATCTTCAACACGCTCAAAGGTTACCTGTGGAGTACCACAGGGATCAGTGCTAGGACCAATTCTCTTTACTTTATACATGCTCCCAATTGGTAGAATTATTAGACAGCATGGGATTAATTTCCACTGTTATGCTGATGATACCCAGCTATATCTGTCTATAAATCCAGATGAAGCTAACCCATTACATAGATTACAGGCATGTCTTGAAGACATAAAAACCTGGATGACTCTTAACTTTCTGCTTCTGAATGCAGACAAAACAGAAGTTATAGTCTTTGGACCAGAGTCTCTGAAAAAGAAACTGATTAGCCAGTCACTTCATTTGGATGGGATTAAACTGATTTCAGATAATAAAGTAAAAAATCTTGGTGTTGTTTTTGATCAGGACCTGTCATTTAAATCCCACATCAAAGAGGTTTCTAGAATTTCCTTCTTTCATCTGAGGAACATTGCAAAAATTAGAAATATCCTGTCCAGGGGTGATGCTGAGAAACTAGTCCATGCATTTGTTACTTCAAGGCTGGACTATTGTAATTCTTTACTATCAGGAAGTCCACAAACTGTAGTTAAAAGCCTTCAGCTGATCCAAAATGCTGCAGCCAGAGTTCTAATGAAAATTAAAAAGAGAGATCATATCTCGCCTGTCCTGGCTTCTCTTCATTGGCTTCCTGTTAAATCAAGAATAGAATTTAAAATCCTCCTTCTCACATATAAAGCCTTAAATGGCCAAGCTCCATCTTATATCAGAGATCTGATTGTTCCTTATGTTCCTAACAGAGCACTTCGCTCTCAATCTGCAGGTTTACTAGTGGTTCCTAGAATTTCTAAAAGTAGAATGGGAGGCAGATCTTTTAGTTATCAGGCTCCTCTCCTGTGGAACCAACTACCAGTTTTAGTCCGTGAGGCAGACACCCTGTCTACTTTTAAGGCTAGGCTTAAAACTTTCCTTTTTGATAAAGCTTATAGTTAGAGTGGCTCAGGTTATCCTGAGCTATCTCTATAGTTATGCTGCTATAGGCTTAGACTTTTGGAGGACATAGGGACCCCCATTTCATCATTCTGCTTCATTCTCTCTCTGTTCTCCTATTCTGCAGAATCTGTTAGTTCAATCTCTAACCTTCTGCTCTCTCTGCTTTTCCTCAGAGTAGCTTTGCCTCGTCTGTTCCTGTTTGGCTGTGACGTCATCCTGGAAAGAAACATCAGCTGTGCTGCTTCTATCAACACCCTTGTTTATAGATGTTGGAGATCGGCCTGTTTTCCAGTGTGGTCCTGTTTCTCTGACCGTGACTGAGTGGATGTGCTTTCTTCGTCCTCTGGCATGGGAGCTGCCTTGGAGCTCGTCTGCCTGGCTGTGTGTTTCCTGGACGGGGCCGCCTTTTACAGCTGCTTTTTGTATCTCTGCTTCTGTCTCCTTGAACCCCAGTCGGCCTCGGCAGATGGCCGCTCACACTGAGCCTGGTTCTGCTGGAGGTTTCTTCCTGTTAAAAGGGAGTTTTTCCTCTCCACTGTCGCTACAAGCATGCTTAGTGTGGGGGATTGTATTTGAGTCAATGAGTCAATGCAATCAACTGGTTTTCCTTAGATAGAAAACTTTGTATCAATTTGATCTGGTTGAACTGTAAAGTGCCTTGAGATGACATGTGTTGTGAATTTGGCGCTATATAAATAAACTGAATTGAATTGAATTGAAAGGCAAGAAGGAGGTCAGAAGCAAGTCAGCAGCAGCCAGGTTTCCCATGTAGATCTCAGCCACGGAGCAGGACTTCTTATGGAGGATGAAAACCATCAGAACAAAGATGTTCAACGCCATTCCCAGCACGGAGATGGACAGGATGTACACCGGGACAAAGCTGTAGACCCACTCACGAGCATCGGTGCAGTTTGCTTTGGACTGGTCTTCAGCCACAGAGCTGCTGTTCACAGACATTCTGCTGAAAAATAAAACAGAGAAACAAATAAACATCTTTGGAAAAATGTATGAAGCTAAATTTGATAAATCTTATAAACAGAGCTTCCACTGTGATGTTTTAAAAAGGGAGGGTTACTGTAAAGGGACTACATTTCCTGCCTCCCTGCATGTCCCTGCTTTGCTGTGTCTTGTCTTTTCTGAGCTCTCTCCTCATATCACCCGAATTCAAACAATGGATCTGGTCAGCTGGTCTCTCAATGCAATTAATACATTTTTCTCAACAGGCAGACAGGGTTAAGGGGACCCGTCCTGCCGGGGCATAATTCGTGTGATCCACCATGGATTCCTGGAAGGCTTGGAGGATGGCATGTTTTACAATGTTGTCAGTGGAAGATATCAAAAGTATATGGATTTTCTGATTTATGAAACTTGGATTTCTCCTATTTGGATTTGGAGGTTATCTGATGTATCTACTATTACAGAGGATGTCTGCGGCAATTTGGGCATTGATCAGGCTGCTGCCAGCGGTTGACACGCTCACCAAGGCTGTGAACAAGCAGGACCGGGAGATGAGCCGTATGCTGGGTGCAATTAGACGCAGGTGGGCTGTGGTACTTGAACTTAAAGGTGAGATGGGATAATATCTTGGATATGCACGCTCGCTACAAGGGGTAAAAGCCCAACCAATATGGAATGTTGGATCTGCCATCTAGTGCCAGCAAGAAAAGACTCAAGGCTGACGGACAATTCCTGTGCAGCCTGCTCTCAAAACAATAAGGGGGATTGGGCCTCCCCCTTATCATTCCTCCCATGAATGTTATGGAAGAAGGGCCCAGAAGAACTGCCCCTCAACACAGCCACCAATCCCCCCGAACATCTGTGGATGTGTCCAGAACTACAGTCCTGGTTGATATACTTAATTCAAGCACAGCATTCCTGGACAAATTGAAGGATTCATCATAAACACAAACAATGCTCAAATGTCAGATTGACTTTCATGTGGCTCCAGCCTCCCATGTTTTCCTTCTGCTGAAATGTTTGTTGTGTGTTTATATGTGCTTTTTTTATATCTCAGTCTATCCTGTCAAGGATAAAGTGTGAAATATGCTTTTTATCTCCCTCTCCACTGTGGCTCCTATCTTAACACAGATATAATTACAGTGCTATTGGCCTCATGGTGAGGCCCCTGGCAACCATAAGCACGCGCCAACGGCAGCAGAGGGCATACTTGTTGGCCCTCATCCTGGTGCCAGTACATTAGGGGTAAACCCGTCGCCACACACATGTCGGGTTCTGACTGTTGTTTAGGCTTATGCACCAAACAGCAGTGCAGATTATCCACCCTTTTTGAAGGTACTGGAGAATGCCCCTCCAGGGAACTCAATGGTTCTTCTGGGGGACTTCAAAAATCACATGGGCAATGACAATGATACCTTGGGGGGCGTGGTTGGTAGGAATGGCCCACCAAGAGCTCAACTTGAGTAGTGTTGTGTTATTGTACTTCTGTCTTCGTCTAGATTATCCATAACAAACAAGGACGTCATGTGTGTGGGCGGAATTCTTCGAAGACGTCTTTAATCCCACCAGCACATCTTCCTTGAGGACTCAGAGCCTGGGGGCTCCAGGTCGGGTTATCCCATCTTTGGTGCTGAGGTTGCCTAGGTGGTTAAAAAGCTCCTCTGTAGTGGGGCCCCAGGGCTGAATGAGATTCACCTTGAGTACCTTAAGGCTGTGGATGTTGTGGGGGGGC